GAGCAGGTCGGTTCATTTGTCTGGATACATTATGTCTGAAGCACTGTGTTGTTATCATATGAGCACATCAGGAATAGCACACCTTTTTGTAATAGGTCTCGATGAGTGGATAAAGTGGTTGCTAATCACGTCGGAGATACGGGTTCGATTTCCGACCTGTGTACATTATTAGAAACCTATTCTCTGTGTACCCGACGTGATGATTGATAAAGGCAGAGTAAAACTGCACTCACCTCACTCACTCACTCACTCGATCACTCGATCACTCGATCACTCACTCACTCACTCACTCACTCACTCACCCACCCACCCACCCACCCACCCACTCACTCACTCACTCACTCACTCACTCACTCACTCACTCACTCACACTCACTCACTCACTCACTCACTCACTCACTCACTCACTCACTCACTCACTCACTCACTCACTCACCCAACCACCCACCCACGCACCCACGCACGCCTCACTCCACTCACTCACTCACTCACTCTCTCACTCTCTCACTCACTCACCCAACCACCCACCCACGAACCCACGCACGCCTCACTCCACTCACTCACTCCACTCACTCACTCACTCACTCACTCACTCACCCACCCACCAACGCACTCACTCACTCACTCACCTCACTCACCTCACTCTCCTCACTCACCTCACTCACTCACTCACTCACCTCACTCACTCACAGTATAGTGAAAACAGGCAGTAAACTTCATGACTTAAACATTTACCCATATGAACTGCTACACGTAAATACATCCGCACGTTTTTTGTCACCAATTGGTTTTATTGTCTTTCCTTCCTAATATTGATGACCTTTGACATTTGCATGATTGGATTTCTTGGGAAACTGAAAAAAAACTATCAAGTCCGGGAATTTGTCATCGGTTTCTTAGGAAGTTTAAGACACATGTCGTTTTCAAATATCAATATCATTCCGTTAACGAAGTGAATTTTGAAAATCATCATGCCAAAAGTAAAACATAATGCGAGAAATATCGCTATTGGAAGACTTGAACCTGGTGGATCAGATACGTCAGTGGCAAGAGAGTTGAATGTTGCCCGTAGCACAATTTCCCGACTCTGGGTACGATGTCAGCAACATGGCACTACTAAATGTGATCGTTCAAGAGAGACCCCGCATCACCACATCAGCCTAGACTCACGACATCCGGGTCCTTTACACTCGAAACAGGAAACTCGCTGCAGCACACGAGCCACGAGTGTACTAGTTTCCCGAGTGCCACAAGTGTACTAGTTTCCAGAGAGCCACGAGTGTACTAGTTTCCTGAGAGCCACGAGTGTACTAGTTTCCCGAGAGCCACAAGTGTACTAGTTTCCCGAGAGCCACGAATGTACTAGTTTCCCGAGAGCCACGATTGTACTAGTTATCCGAGAGCCACGAGAGTACTAGTTTCCTGAGAGCCACGATTGTACTAGTTTCCCGAGAGCCACGAGAGTACTAGTTTCCCAAGAGCCACGATTGTACTAGTTTCCCGAGAGCCACGAGTGTACTAGTTTCCCAAGAGCCACGAGTGTACTAGTTTCCCGAGAGCCACGAGTGTACTAGTTTCCCGAGAGCCACGAGTGTACTAGTTTCCTGAGAGCCACGAGTGTACTAGTTTCCCGAGAGCCACGAGTGTACTAGTTTCCTGAGAGCCACGAGTGTACTAGTTTCCTGAGAGCCACGAGTGTACTAGTTTCCCGAGAGCCACGAGTGTACTAGTTTCCCGAGAGCCACGAGTGTACTAGTTTCCCGAGAACCACGAGTGTACTAGTTTCCCTAAAGGCTCAAGTGAACTAGTTTCCAGAGAGCCACAAGTGTACTAGTTTCCCGAGAGCCACAAGTGTACTAGTTTCCAGAGAGCCACGAGTGTACTAGTTTCCCGAGAACCACGAGTGTACTAGTTTCCCTAAAGCCACAAGTGAACTAGTTTCCAGAGAGCCACAAGTGTACTAGTTTCCAGAGAGCCACAAGTGTACTAGTTTCCCGAGAGCCACGAGTGTACTAGTTTCCTGAGAGCCACGAGTGTACTAGTTTCCAGAGAGCCACAAGTGTACTAGTTTCCAGAGAGCCACGAGTGTACTAGTTTCCAGAGAGCCACGAGTGTACTAGTTTCCAGAGAGCCACAAGTGTACTAGTTTCCCGAGAGCCACGAGTGTACTAGTTTCCAGAGAGCCACGAGTGTACTAGTTTCCCGAGAGCCACGAGTGTACTAGTTTCCTGAGAGAGCAGAATATAAACGTACTGGTCGTGGCCTTCAAAGGTCATCCGATCACAACCAAATGGAGCATTATTAGGATGAGGTAGACAGTCGTTTGCGTTTGCATCAACCTGGGCCACAGCATCAGCAACAATTACGCCAAGTTCTTCAGGAAGAATGGACTGCCATTCCACAAAGTGTCATCCTCAGGCTTCTTGGTGCCATGTACAGGGGGTGCCGTGACGTCATTCAGGTCAATGGTGGACACACACGGTGCTAGGCATTACGACTGCCATGCTCGAGAAACACACAAAGATATATTGTCGGCTACTGTCGTTGGTTAAGTGAGACGTAGAGCACGTAGCAAGCCCTAGATTTGAATCGCCCGTGGAAGGTGCGGTTACTTGGTCATTCTATCCGGGGATTTAAAATAAGATAACAAAATTGTTTTCGAGGCTGCGTGTTTCCAAACAAGCAAGCACACGTACCTATCGGAGACAATATAGGTTATTGTGAAAAAAAGACCCAGCACACTCGATAATCCGGCATTTCGGGGTAACAGGGTTTGAAACTTAGGGTGGATAATCGACTGCAGTTGCATAACAAATGTACCTGGTAGCTTAAAAAGAGTGTATGCAAAAATAGGATTGAAATAAATCCGATTAATGTGCAGTGAATGTGAATTAACGCAAATGTTTATATTAGCAACATTTACTTGATGTAGCAAGTTCTCAATATGAATACAGTTTACGCAAGGGTATTTTCATAATTTAATAAATGAAGGTACAATTGAATTTGAAATGCTTGTTTGAACATTGGTAATGCACGGGTGTTAATGTGGATACAACTTTACATATGTTATTCGCCAAATCCACACCCTGAACCACGCCCTGAGCGCTACTTTATTACCTGGTGGCTCACGACATGTCCATTCCTATTTACTGGATTCCAAGGTTCCATAAAAATCCGTAGAAAGAGAGATATATATTACTGTCAAGCAAATGTACCAATAAAATCCCTGTTTCAAAGATTAACCACAATCCCTAAACAATCAAGGAAGAACTTTCTTTAAATTCACACACAAAAACATATTTGAGACAGGTTGAAATAATACCATGTGAATTCTCAAAAACTCAAATGATTTGCCTGATTTTTTGACAATCTCAGAAAAGTTCAATTCTGTCAAGACATTAGATTTTTCCACTTTATACACCGCTATCCCAAACTTAAGGGAATACTTCATTCCTTCATAAATTGAGCATTAGTAACTAAAAATGGCGATAATAGATATAGTTTCATAGTTATCTTCAGAAATTCAGGACAATTTGTAAAAAACTGAACGCCAATGTCATCTGAAGTTTACAGAGAAAACACAATGTGCAATGCTGAACATCCTCACTGACTTTGGGGCTAAGACATTTAGGCAAGAAGTAGGCCTCCCGGTTGTGCTACCCTCATTATTGATCTTTTTCTTAATGATTATGAATCGGAATGTCTGCTCAGATTGGCAAATTAAATTCAAGGGAATTTCACCAAGAAGTTGAACTTTAGCTTGGGCTCCACACATTGTACCCATGTCGGGAATCGAACCCGGGTCCCCGGCGTGACGAGCGAACGCTTTAACCACTAGGCTACCCGACCGCCCCCTATGCATTCAGATTCAGTGTGACAAAAATTCTCCACAAGACTGTATGACAAGAGGGATGACTTCAACTTTCCAATCGTCAATTTACCCTTTATGCCGCGCTATATTCAAGTCTTTGGTGTCTACATTTCACAACTTTTGAGATACAATCGAGCATGCTCTTTCTACGAAAATTTCAAAGAGTGTCGGTGCCACCGACGGGGCAGGATACGCTCACTCGTTCGCGAACACCCGGTATCATCACTATTTTATAGTGATTCAAATGATACAGTCGGAACCATACTTTTGATACAGTCGGAATCGTACAAGGTAGTAGTCTTCTTCTGTAGTAATGAATAGGCTCATGAACATGTAACTGTTTTTGTGGCTTATGTTCATTTAGCTTTACAGACAGTTAGAAACTGTTTCGATATTTATTTCCAAAGTCGCTGTTATGACCCACGTTAGACTAGGTCCCAGGACTCTCTTGCCGGTCATGAGAGGCGACTAAATTAGAGGGGGTGGTCAGTAAATAATCGAGTCTGGACCAGACAATCCAGTGATTGACGTCATGAGTATCGATCCCCGCAATTCGGATCGATGACATGCTTCAACCAAGTCAGCGAGCCTGACCACCCGTATGTGTATGTATGTATGTGTGTGTGTGTGTGTGTGTGTGTGTGTGTGTGTGTGTGTGTGTGTGTGTGTGTGTGTGTGTACGTACGTACGTATGTATGTATGTATGTATATGAACAAGTAATTTCATGTCTCGTGTGGATAAAGGAGTTTTTACAAGCACGAATATCTGGACTCTTGGTATGTATGTATAGTTTTATAGACAGAAACTGCTCAGTCCTAACTGTTGATCATGTCCGGTCAAAATTTAAGAATGTCCGGACAATACTTTTTAAAATGTCCGGACAGAAAAAATTAAATGTCCGGTAAGCAATATTTTAAACCGGACATTTGAGATTCCCAATCGGACATGTCCGGCGCATATGACGGTTTCCGGACCCCTGATGTATACATATATTATTATTATTCAGTTATGGCCTGAAACTGTGTTCAATCTTACTCCACTTATTTAATTATTACTATATTGTGCCTGAGAGTTAGAACTTTACTGTGCTTTTTCTATGTATACAGCAATTGATGACAAAGCAGACAATGGGGACTTCACGGACATTTTATTTACATAAGCTGCGCATATATACACAGTACAGAGGTCAATGTACAGATATACCCAAGTCCGACAATAAACAATAACATGGGGATTGAACATGGGTGTTTGGGTAACCGGTGTCATTTTGCATAGAAGAGCGTTAACAGCGCATGAAACATTTGGATTTTTGAACAACATGATGGGTACATCGAAGTTACTAAAATATTTGTGGCCTCAGAGCATTTCATGAAAAAGAATTCGATTGAAGGGAAGCCCGAAGAAAACGATATTGATACTATACAAACAGCCATGATGAAATCCACATAATATAACAAAAATGAAGGATAATTCATTTGACAACCAAAATTCTATATCTGTTTGGAGGCGCAGTGTAAGGGAGATAACTGTACAAGAACTAAGAGGAGAACGCTGTTGGATGTCTGAATCATAATGGCATAATGTCAGGCGTAGGTCGGAAGTCTACACTGGCTCCTACATGCTGTGCAGAGTTGCGTCCCTTGGGCACGCCATAATCTGGTTCGAATCTGGGCTCGTCCCGTGTCCGGGTTTGTCAGCACCATACCGTGCTTGGGGTTTCACCAAAGTGGTAAACGTCAAAGCTGACACGCGGTGATATAACTGGAATACTGTTCAAAGCAGCGTTAAACCCAACTCACTCACTCACTCATACTGAGGCCTGATTCAGGGTGACTCAGAAATAAAAGATTACACATTATTCGGATTTCCTGGACAACAACATGGATGTCATTGGACAACATAAATATTAATACACAATTATTAACATGTGAGTAACAGGTTACAATACATTTACTGAAACAATTGACAGTATGTGACACTACATTAATAGATTAAACAGAGTGCTGACAAAAAACTAAGGATTATACAGCGCCTCGTGTTTGGACAAGCCAGTGTCATTTTGTACAGAATAACGTCTTGTGTACAGGTTCACAGCATGTAGAATTGTGAATAGTTATAAAGAAGGGTAAATATATTTTCTGAATAGTTCAGTGATATATCACAGGGTATATGATACAAGAGAGAGCAAACAGAAAAGGAAGTCGAAATCCCAAAACCAGCCACACTGAAACCAGGAGGATATTTGATTGAAACCGGAAGTTCCAGTTTAAGCAAGTGCAGTGTAAGGGAGATAACTGCACACACGCCAAGTAACGAAACAAACAAATAAGCATATTTCTAAATGCTGAGTGTGTCACACTTTGCACAAACATAATCTGCTCGCTAAAAAGAGAAATCTTGTAATCATAATGCACTACACGACACATCCAAGCAACCAATTACTTTTTAAAGTTTTAAAGTGCAAAGCTATACATACAGCATATACACATACAGAATGTATTTCAATCAAGCCTGAATCTAATCAACAAATGACACCAGATGTGTGTACCGTGTGGCGTCATCGGATGGCCCCAGCGTCTCATAGCGTCTCTGATCTGCAGCTTCAACTACATCAGGCGAATCGTCATCTTCATCTGTACCAGCCGATGATTGAATCATTTCATAATGTCGGTAATCACTGTCACGTGACCCACCAAGCTCTTCCAGCGAGATGTCATCGGATCTTGATTCCAGATCGTTTTGTACAGGTGACATGTATATCCCACCCGAACCGTTCACTGCGTACCTACAAGATACAAATAACAAAGAAATAGCATGTTTTAGAAGCGCAAAGTAACACGCATATGTATGGTATTTAATACAGTGCCCGCATGCATTCTCCGATCAACTAAATATAAGTTTTTAAAATTTTAAATAAAAGATGACCCCTTAAAGAAATTCTAAGAAATTTACCATGAGCACATTGAAACATAATCAGGGAGAATTTGGGATTCGGACCCACGATCATAGGTTTCTAGCGGTACTAAGGAACGCAACTCAGCACTTGGAATTACGGCACATTAGACAATCACGACAACACCGTATAAATACCGGCGTAAGTGTGTGAGTGAGTGAGTGAGTTTTGTTTTACGCCGCTTTTAGCAATATTCAAGCAATATTCGGGGGAAACCAGAAATGGGCTTCACACATTGTTCCCATGTCGGGAATCGAACCCGGGTCTTCAGCGTGACGAGCGAACGCCTAACCACAAGGCTACCTGACCATCCCTTAGCTCTTATTAAGAAGTGTAGTTACTGTGAAAGTTTAAATTTCCAATTTATTTTTATTCAAATATTTATTCCCAATCGTTTGAGAAATGTACTATTACCGCTTAAGGAAGAGCACGGCCATGATGATAACAAGAGAGACCAAAACAACAACCGCAGCAGAAAGGATCCATATCTGGCGACGATGTGAACTTTGTTCTGAAAATACGACAAGGACGCAAAATATTTTCTTTGGTAATTATGAGTGAGTGGGTGAGTGAGCTGAACGGTGTTCCAGTTATATCACGGCGTATCCGCTTAATTTGGGACGAAAGCCCAAAGGGATACCACTTCGATGAAACCCACAAGCATGGGTATGGTGCTGACAAACATAGAAACATAATCGGGGCGAATCGGGATTCGAACCCACGATCAAAAGTTTCTGGCGTGCCCACGGGAGGCAACTCTGCACAGAAAACTGCGGCCACAATTGCCACCAGGTACCTGTGAAGAAAACCCATTTCCATGACAATATTTAGCTGGCTTTAAGCGTTTCCATAATGAGTGAAATAACACACAAGTAAGACGTTAATGCTAATCTATCACAACAATCAAGGCCTGTGCCAGAATCTGTTGAATGAGTTCCCTGTTGCAATGACTCGAGTTGTTGGGTACGGTGACACGCTATAAAAGCTGTAAGTCGCCAATCCAATCCAGCAAGTCGTCATGAAACAAACATCATTTGGGACACATTCTTACGTGGAACCCCCACCAGGGATTACATAGTGAGTTGTTGTGGCGTTCAATTATAACTAACCAGTACAATTGTTTATATGCGAATACGTTTGTTACCATTGCAGTGTTCTCCCGTCCAGCCATCAGGACAAGTAAGGCAGGCACCATCATATAGACATGTGTTGCACACCATGGGACATGTTCCAGAACACCTGCTTCCATAAAACCCGTCCTCACACCCGTTTATACAGACTCCTGTCATGTTACACTGCGACTTCAGGCAGGCAGTGTTACAGGTCAAGTTACAGGACTCGCCGTATCTGTTTGCTACACACTCCAGACATTGGTCATGATGTCTGTCACATCTCACACAGTGCTGTAGACACGTGTTGTGACAGTAGTCACCCCACCATCCGTCTTCACACACCTCAGTGCATTGGGGCGTATCTACATCAGTGTTAACTGTATGACAGTTTCTATTGACACAGTGATCACTGCACGAATTGTTACAGTAAAGGCCATAGGAAGTTCCAATACATCCTTGTGAACATATTCCAGTTTGGTGGTGACATGTGCCTCCATTACATCCGGATGAACAAAGTTTGTCACACATCTTGCCGAAATGTTGCTGTTGACAAGAGAGACATTTTTCAACATATTGTTCACATTTAGTACAGAACTGTGGACACGAAGCGTTGCAGTGGGAGCCTTTGAATCCATGCATACAAGACTTACAGGAACCAGTCTCTCTGTGGCAGGACTCTGAGGCACATTGGTCGGAACATTCCAGATGACACGTATCTCCGTACCAGCCTGTGGTACAGCCTTGAATACAACTTCCTGACATTTTTTCACAGGCATGGTTCATACAGTTGGAACGACAATGTCGCTCACACATTTCCCCAAAGTTTCCAACTCTGCAAGATTCACAAGTTCCACTCCTGTCACATCTCTGGTTACTACAGTGACTGCTGCAGGGGCTATAACATTTGTCTCCATGGAAACCGGGTTTGCATCTTTTACAGGTTCCGTTACGATAACACAGTTCGTCCTCACAGCTGACATTGCAGGCTTCGTCACACTTGTCACCAGACCATCCGCTATTGCACCCGGATGTACATACCCTGTTGAATGAGCATGCTTCTCTGACACAGTTATTGCACTGTTTTTCACACAAACGTCCATACCACCCTACTTCACAACCCCGTGTACACCCTCCCTCCAGACCACATACTTCATAGAGGCAGTGCAGGGGACAGGGGGCGGTGCAGCCATCTCCATGGAATCCAGCCTTGCATGTACAACTGTCTCCATTACATCTCTGACAGTTCGCACACGTCTCTGTACACAACGCACCTCGAAATCCTTCTTGACATGTACAGTTATTTCCTGTACACATTTCACAGTTTTGACACTCTTGCAAACATTTGTTTCCTCGTCTTCCTCTCTTGCAGCCACACAGACACCTCGCATCATTGTCACACGTCTCAACATTGTCCCCACACCGCCTGCACGTGTCACAAATTAAATCACATGTAGGTCCATAGTAACCTGGCAGGCAGTTTTGAAGACAGTGCCCTTTCCACCGGTGACATCTTTGATTCCTGCATCCTGTACTACATGGAGTAAGACAGTCTGCACCCCACGTGTGGCTCTGGTTACAGGGAACATCACATGCATCTTTGTATTCGACTGACTGTACATCGACAGCATGCTTGCATTGTCTGCACGAGGAGCCATCCTGGAAATATCCCGATCTGCACTCTGTGGAAAGTATGTTTCAATATTAACTATGATTATCAGGTCGCTTAAAAACAAATACCAGATAAAGGGAATAGGCAGTTGATAAATGGACCGTTTAAATATTGAGAATATTGCACAGAACACTCTATCGATATGAGAACAGTTCAGCTGTCTTAGATTTGCCTCTCACCTTCTTGACAAAGGTCGCATGTCCTATTGCACATTGATTTCACTCCTGGCTGACGACAGTGCGACTCTCTACAACTGGAATATATATCCTGGCACGGTGGAAAAGCTGCAACAATAAAATCAGTGCGAACGATATATGTCTCAAACTAAGCTGTGAACTTGTAGGATAGATTGAGCATACGTGAATTGGTGAGATGCTAAATCAGGCCAGAACTTAAGATGAACTAATGTTGTAAAGTAAACTTGAGAGGTCACGTATCCCAGATAATTTAATTCCTGATACCTTACCAAACGTTAATACTTCATGATTCAAGACTCTCCCATAACCACTGATTACTTAGCACATCTTTTCATATCTTATTGATGTGTCGGACATTTAACCACTGATAAAAATATTGATACTTCAAAGTTCACCACAGTATATTCAAGATATGCCATGTGTGAAGGCGAACATGTCATTTACATAATATATACGTTGGATAGGTGTTTAATATATTCACCAGTACATTGTGTGAGAGCCAGCCCGCACATTGCCAGAAGGAGGGTGTTGTGGTGACACATGGTTGAATGCGTCAATCCTCGAACCTGTAGTCGACAAGAAGGTTTCCTACAGAAGCATATCATAAGTCGACAAAGAGATAGTTACCTCAAATACAATTGCTTATATCTATCTTCAAACACAAACATAAAATAACTAATAACTCCCACTGAGCTTGTCATTGAGCATTAATTTCCTGGCATTAAACATGGCTTATTCTGGTGACGTTTTCTCAACACAGGGTCATATGTTATGGGCAAATGAAGAAATATAATCTCTGAGACAATTACTGTTATTGCATTGATGACACCAGGTGTTTGACATCCCTCGTGTGTGATTGTCATCACTGATCGGAAATATATAACGATTATGTCTTTTCAAGTGAATTATAGAAACATTACTTTACCTTTTTACGTGGTGTTACGAGCAGGACTAGGATGGCACATTTGCAAAGCTACACAGTGACCGAATGAATCATATTTTCTATTTCCCTTTACGTTACATACATCAAACAAGGACAAATCTATTGCCTGTCTATGGCATACATCAAGTGTGATTCATGCACAACTACATCCTGCCTCCGAAATCATAAAAACAGGCATGACTGTATACACCCTGTTGTCCCTCTTAACGTTGTAACATGCATGTCTATATACACTATGTTATCCCAGTCAACGTTGTAACATGCATGTCTATATACATCATGTTATCCCAGTTAACGTTGTAATATGCATGTCTATATACACCCTGTTGTCCCAGTCAACGTTGTAACATCCATGTCTATATACACTACCGTGACCCCGTCACCGTTGTAAATCCTTGTCTATATACACCATGTTGTCCCCTTCAACGTAGTAAATGCATGTCTATATACACCATGTTGTCCCCTTCAAAGTAGTAAATGCATGTCTATATACACCATGTCGTCGTCGTCAACGTTGTAACACGCATGTCTATATACACCTTGTGTTCCCGTTAACGTTGTAACATGCATGTCTATATACACCATGTGGTCCTCGTCAACGTTGTAACATGCATGTCTATATACACCATGCTGTCCCAGTCAACCTTGTAACATGCATGTCTATATACACCATGCTGTCCCAGTCAACCTTGTAACATGCATGTCTAAATACACCAAGTTGTCCCAGTCAACCTTGTAACATGCATGTCTATATACACCATGTTGTCCCTGTCAACCTTGTAACATGCATGTCTATATACACCATGTTGTCCCTGTCAACCTTGTAACATGCATGTCTATATACATCAAGTTGTCCCAGTCAACCTTGTAACATGCATGTCTATATTTACATTTAGTACTAACTACTAAATGACTTTATCGCGCGTATCCAAACCATGGGCTAATTACGTCTGTAACCCAATCACCCCCCGTAACTCAATCACCCCGGGCCACCACTCGGCACCGTGCCCGGGGAATAATCCCGCGCAAGCATCATCCCGCCTTTGTTAGTCGGTCATTCGCGAACAGCCCTTCCCCAAGTACACACGTGTGTCACTGTATCTAATCGCTTTTGCTTTGAATACCACCTATTTCAGCACTCGCCGTATCGCATTTATGCCGTTCTACTCCCGAACTTCACCCTCGGGACAATTTTACGCTGGTGGAATACCTCGACTCACCACCTCGACCTTCGTGATGCCTCCCAAGAGAAGAGCACCCGTCAACCACAAGCTTGTGAGGGGAGCCAAGCAGGCCAGGACAACCAGAAGACAAACCCCGGGAGTGCACATTATGCAGGAGGCAACAGCTGATGGTGAGTCTGCCAATTACGAGGGGATGCGGAACGGAAATATCGAAGGGGGCAACAGAATTAACGTACAATCGGCGCAGTTTGTAAATGCCGCGCAGGCTGCCAACTCGGCTACCCAGGTAAACGAGCAACTGGAAAAATACTCCAGTTGCAGGAACATTCAGCGCCCGGCCCAGTTAGCGCAAACCAACAGGTAAGGCTTGGTTTTAGTTCTCCCGCCATTTCGCCCAACATAGGGAGAATCCCCGATGCTTACAACGAGGTATTCATTTTCATCGTAGTGTCTCAGCGACCGAATTGGGACAAAGACTAATTACCCTGCAGCCATGATGTGTATATGTCTAGAATCTAGAAATGGATTAGTAAACAATCGAAGCGCTTATGTTAATACCACTTCATTACCCATAAGACACGATGCAATAAATACATCAGCGAACGTTAGATTAACAAATGAATTGCACATGCCAAGCTAGATGTGTGTATAGGAGAAATATATTTGCAGTTTATGTTAAACAATTCATTTAATTGAACATCTGCCAGTTTTTAATACGAAGTTTTGAATAGAAGCTAATGTTTGGATTTGCTCTTCTTTACTCAAATGCGAATTTCTGCACAGCACTGTGTGTAAAAAATAACCTTGTTGGTAAAAATACATTTCATTTCGAAGAACTTAGTAGTTTGTACACACAAAAGTGTAAAGCATGCTCGGTATGATATCCACAGGAACAGGTTTTAGTATGCAACATGTCTATCATACTGATCTGCATTAAGATCGCTGCAGCCAAGCCTGATGCGAATCTGAATAAATTGACATGCTAATTGCCATTGTTAATCCAGAAGTATTGTACATGGACTGTCTGCCATCCTGAACGAGCCGTGCAACTTTGACATTGTTTATTTCCATAAATAACCACTCACAGTGGTACATGGACATAAATACAAGAAATAGACAACGGAGGCATTCACCAAATTGCATCCATCAATATGTTAGCGATCGTACATCTACATCAGTATGTCCTTACCTGAGAGTTGTGCGTCGGGGTGCATGGCAGTATAGAATGGCAGTCGTTAGTTAGTTACTTGAATGGCAGTCCGGGGGTCCTGTCGCTATATACTTGTCCGACATGAAATGACAGGTTTTAGGGTTTGTGATTTAGTTAGTGTGGGTGATTTTAAGAGTGTTTGTTGAATGGGTGATAATTACTGCTGACGCTATAGATGTAAACATTCATATAATGATGGCAGCAAAGGACAGCCGAAGAGACAATGGCGTTGCCACCACGAGACATGTGTATGCCTTTTACGAGACGGCTAAGGGTATAATTCACTATGTCTATAAATGTTATGTAATCAGTCCTGTAGCGAATCCCTTTCTGAGCAACAGACCGTGTCAGTGCATGATTTATTTTTGGCACAACGGAATGGGACTGTAGGCACGTGTAGCTCTTAATCCCATACGAAAACACCAACTTTAGATTCGCGTGGTATCTCTGGTACCACATTCTTTTCTGTAACGCAGATGGCCTAGGTTATGATGATAGTTCGGATAACATTCGTAGAAAATATAGACTGAATGACACGACAGAGTGAGAGCCGATTAACGCCGCTTTAAACAGCATGCCGGTTAGCGAGGCCGACGGTGACGCGGCTTGGCCAGCCAATCACATCGCAGGATACGGGGATTCCCTTTCCTTCCATGCGGACGGAAAAGACGCGCACGTCAAACAAACGGTGAGGGAAAAAATCTGGCGTGGCGAGTATGTCGACCTCGGCACAATCCTACCAGACACCGAGGGAAGTCACGAGGACGGTACGATTACCATGGCGTACGACTCCTCAGGTTAGGTAATTTTTAAACCAATAAAGCAGCAACCAAAGCGCCTGTCCCTGGCAAGCTGGACTTCAGCTTTCCACATTTTCATGTGTATATATGTTAGTAGGCACTCCGAGGTCCGCACAACCCAGGGGTTGCTGTCCTACATGGAAACCATAAGAACGGCGGCACTTCGATTCGGGGGGATGCCTGGTCAACCTACGACCAACAATTCCGACACAGAATGTCAAGGGACCCCTCACGACGCTGGGACAACATCGACGGGGAGTTGTGGCTGAAGTCCATGGTAACACAGCCGGTACTACAACCAGAATCAGGCGGACGGGGCGCAATGACACGCGTACAGGGGGACATCGCCAGTCAGGTATGCTGGGATTTCAATAAGTTTGGCTGTAGCAGGGTCAACTGTAAGTACACTCACAAATGCGGTAAGTGTGGCAAACATTCCCATAGCTCTAGGACCTGCTTTCGAGGGAATGGGGTCCAACCGACCCCATACAAGCCCAATCAGCCTTCTGCCTAACAGAAAACCAGCCGTCAAGGCAGGTAAATTCAATGGCCCCTTCCCCCGTGGATCTCAATGAAATGGCACCCTGGTTACGCCAATATGCTAGGGTCAATTACAGAGATGCAAACTATTTATGGGTAGGTTTTAGCTCTGGCTTTAAGCTTGAGTTCCAGGGAAGCCGCACGGGTCGCCTGGCACGAAACTTGCGATCAGCCACGCACCAAGACACGGCAGGCTACGTGAAACAAAACTACAAAACGAAGTCGACCTTGGCAGGATGGCGGGCCCTTCAAGGACACCCCCCCCCCCCCCCCCCCCCCCCCCCCCTAGACAACCTCCAAGTATCCCCAATAGGCCTGGTGCCCAAGAAGCAGCCAGGATATGGTCAGCACCTGGGTAAGCATGCGGAGGAATTCCGTCTAATTCACCATCTATCCTATCCAAGGGGTAAATCTATAAATGACTTCATAGACACAGAGGCCTGCTCCGTTGCGTACGCCAGATTTGATGAAGCTACCCATATGGTTCAACGACTGGGAAAGGGAGAACTACTAGCAAAATTCGACATTCAGTCGGCCTTTAGAATTATACCAGTCCACCCATCCATTTCGAGCTGCTAGGCATCAGATTCGAAGGTGAGTTCTATTTCGATAAATGCCTACCATTTGGCTGCTCCATATCTTGCGCCATATTTGAAACGTTTAGTACCTTCATGCAATGGTGCATGCAATCGCATCTTCCAACGTGTCCGATCATGCATTACCTGGATGACTTCCTAACGGGGGGCACAGCAGGCACCAGCCACTGCTCAGACAACCTCAACGGATGCGCGAATACACTAGAACAGCTTGGGGTTCCTACTGCGCACGACAAGACGGTGGGCCCCACAACCAAACTGACATTCCTAGGGCTGGAAATCGACACCATTGCAATGCAGATCAGAATCCCAGAGTCCAAGATCAAGGAGGCAACAAGGGAAATCCAAGACATCCTGTCAACAGGTAACATCAAGGTCACAAAAAGGGCCCTTCAGTCCCTCATAGGCAAGCTTAACTTTATGTGCAGAGCTATACCAATGGCAAGGGCATTCAGCCGAAGGCTAATCGATCTGCTTAGCAGTCCCTCATAGGCAAGCTTAACTTTATATGCAGGGCTATACCAATGGCAAGGGCATTCAGCCGCAGGCTAACCGATCTGCTTAGCAAAGGTAAGCAACCATTTCACCACATTAGGATTACCAGCTGGGTCAAGGAAGACCTACAAATGTGGTTAACATTTCGTACGAGTTATAAAGGCATTTCAGTGTTTCAGGACCAACTATGGGTGGACAGCGATTTCCTCCAGCTGTTTT